TTTTCAGACACAAGCCTGAGAACAGAATTATTTGTTTACTTTTAACTGGTGTATATTCAATGTACTTCCAAATGGATTTAACTCTCATTTGCACATATACTCCTTTGGAATACCCATTTTGCTTCTGATTCAATGCACTTTTCTTCCAAGTAAACTGCATTGACATCAAAATACTTTTTTCCAAATAAGCATGTTTGCTTGGAAGACAAACATGCTAAAAAAAAATCAAAATTTCTTTCATCTAACATACTGAAGTTGACACTATTTTAGTTGGAAGCAAAAGGAATTAGTTTTGATTCCATGGGGCTGATTTCTATATTAATTCACTGAGAACTTTAGTTGTATTTTGTGCCTTTACTACCTCCCTTTTCTCTTTACCATGGAGCTGCGTTTCTGTCATATTTCCTACACCCTTTTGCCCATTTCACAATGAAATCTTTCCCCACCTGTTTCTCCTTATCATATTTTCTACCGGATGTATCTTACTATCCGTCTATAGGTTTTATTTCTTTCTTGGGTCTTTTCATCTTATCGCAGCCTCCTTGTTTTCCTGGGCTGCTTTTTCCTCGCTGCCATCTAATCTTACTATTCATCTTCAACATTCACAGATTGTCATTAAGGTAGCTCCAAGTGGTGTCATTTTTCAGCCGTCAACATCTACTCGGGCTGACTGCAGGAAGATAGTACTGGAGAAAGAGCTGGAGTTGCTGAGGTGGGGTGAAAGAAGGGAGCGGGCATTCTGGTGATGCTCAGAAGCGCCTATTTGCTCGCTGTCCCATTCGACGCGCCTTTTTCTTCCGTGCCGCTTTCGCTGAGACCAGGGAGGACAGAAACCTGCCTTCTCCCGTTGTTCTCCCTCAACAATACCTCGCTTGCCGGTTCTAGGGGGAGCCCTTGTACGGTGGAGGCGCGCGAAGCCGAGTCTCAGAGCAGACTTGCAGGCACTGGCAGACATAGGCCTGCTTCACTCTGCAGGACAGACCACAGCAGGCGCATCACCTCGGGGCCTGCCAGGTGCAGTGCGACCCACCCAAAACGGCCCCTTCTCCCAGAAAGGCCTTGCCCCTCCAAAGGTACAGAGGAGCCGCCGAATTCAAGGCGTCTATCTACTCGGGAACTCGATTACACCAAGTCGACGGAGACGCTGAGCTTTCTAATAGGCATATTTGGCATGACTTCCGAGGAATGGCGGGCTGCTAGTGGCTTTTCTGGCAGTAAAATCACCACGATCCCCTCTTCACCCTCCCCAATGCCCAGATACAGGTGCGCGCTCGCGGCAACGTCGAAATTCAGCAACTGTCTTCCTCTCCGAAGTTCCCTTGACCAGAGAAGAAACTTACAGAGGGGGGCTCCAGTTAGAACCTCCTTCCATTCAGCGTCATTAAGTAGTTCGCACGCGCCGCCGGCCACTCCATTTCGCCCGGGGATCGTTCGATTCCTCGGTAAACTTTGCCTTTTTCTCTGGAGCCGAGACGAAAGCGCTGTTGTTTTGGAGCCCCGTAAATGCGAGGAAGGGAGATCGATCTGCTGATTTCTGAGAGCCTCTTTCTTCCCATTCGGATCAGAAATCATTTCTGGGAGGGCCGGATTGTGCAGGCGTGTCCGAGAAGGTGAACACCGAAGAGATCTTTGAGCTTCTCTGGGCATGCGTTTGGATGAAAGAAACTAGATAAGGACGGATCTTTCTGTTGGGTGACACCAAGAATTATACCCTGATCCTATGCCAATTGCTCAAAAGTTCTGTTAAGTGGAGTCAACAGTCGCGAGAAAAGCGCGAGAGAATGTGTTTGGAGAATGCCCACTCCTTCCCTCGAGGCCCTGTGCCGTCCTCGGAAAGCTCTCGGTTCAAAACGGGGCAGATCTGCAGTCGAAACGTTTGTACTGGTTTGCAGAGGGTGGCAGTTCCGCCAGTCGGCTGGTCAGCAAGTAGCTTGCTACTCCCAACAGAGCTTCGAGGAGAACAAGAAAGCGGGCGCGTGTGTCCGAGTACGCGTGCAAGCTCATACAAGACGCCCCTTTAAGAACGAGACGAGTGCGCCTGTTTCTGCGCAACTCGTTTGGACGCAGCTGTTTCGGCGCGTGGACAAAGCGCTGGCCGTGTAAAACTTGGGTTTTAAAAAATGAGTGGTGCCTATTGGAAGGCGTTGTGACAGATTCTGGGCGCGCTTAATCAGGAATGAGCCCCTCTGGCCTTCGCTGGCCTTACTCAGGGTAAGCTCCCACAGGATGGACCAAAGTGAGGGGCGCGTGTTAAGGAGAGCGCCCCAAGTGGGCACAGATTAGAGAGATTGGACACCCGGGCCCCAAAAATGAGTGCGGAGAACGGAAATGAGAATCATTCATTAAAGCCCGAGGATTTTAACCGGCCTCTCAAGCACTTTTCGAAAGTTCCGGTCCGCAAGCGTTCTCATACTAGAACTTCTGAGGAAACACACCCAATAGACATGCTTCTCCTCTAGAAATGAGAAAGGCCCGAAAAATGCACAATTTTGGCTGGCTGGTGGCCTGTGCGTGCTAAGTTCGATTCTTTCTGGGAGAGAATTGACCCGGGACCTATACAGGCTTCCTCCAAAGTTGAAATGGCTAGATTTTTCCCCCTTATTCAAGACCGTTTAAAAACAAGAAAACAAAACCACAACACAATCGATAGTCGCACGAGTTACATCAAGCCGTTGGCTTCACCTTCACACTCCTCTTTCTTGGTCATTGCTTTCAACGGAAGAGTTTGAAAGGTACTCTCTGCGAAGGGGGCAGGGAGACAGAAGCGTTGGAAAAGGACCTTCTGCCCGCGCAGACTTCGCCGAGTCTAGAAAAGGCCCGCGCGCGCGACGCCCCTCCCCCACCGCAAAGACGCACGGGGCCGCCGCCGCACCTCGCTGGCTCAGCTCGCGTCGCCTAAGCCTGGCGCCAAACCCTCTAGCCCCTTCACGTCTCCCAGCCTGCCTCCCGTTCCTTCGCCTCAGCTCTTCAACCGACCCACCCTCCGCCGCGGTGCTTAGCCTTCTCTTCTGATTCCGTGCGGCTTCCTTGCTTTTTGTGGTTGGAAGGTGAACAGCAGAAAGTTCATTTTCCCCAGCGCGGGATTTTTCTGCTTTTTTTCTCTACTGTAACGAGGAAGTCTTGCTTTTCTCACACAGACATTAGGGCGGTGGTCGTTTTTAATTGCTGGTATCATTCCCTTGTCTGCTGCTGCTTCTTTCCTCCCCTCCCATCATGCCCTCCTCAAGCCGAGGGTATGCCCTTCTACTTTATAGCCAATTACCTAGGAATGAGCCTCAATCAGCTCAATGGGACTAAATGTGTCAGGCCGTAGCGGAATTCTTACTTGGCCTTTTTGACTACGGAGAAAACTCAATAAATCTTTTCCTATACTTTCCTTCCCTTTCTCTACTTGTGGGGCTAATTCTTCTCAGTCTTCTTAAAACGAAGGAGTGTTTTATTTGGGAGCCTTTTTCTAGACTTGCCTTCTCTCCTGGTTGTATATTGTGAGCTGGAGTTGGAGATAAATGTTTTTCCTTCCAGCACCAAATCCAGGACCTTCGTGGTCTCTAATGTCCCTTATCTTAACAAACCATTGTCCTTTCTCCCTTTTTAAAGTTTGTTCCCCCTTCAGGATATTGTAGATAGAGTCGTCAACTTTCCTCTTCTTTTTATGAGGGGACAACCGTCTTCCTCTTTTTAATTCTTTTTTAATATCCCACTTTTAAATTTCTTTCGGAAATATTTTGGAGGGGGGCGGGTGAAAAGCTTCGGATTACTTATTCTTTTACAAGCCTAATAATAGCTTATTCTTTCACAAAACTAATAATAACGACCTGCCACCATCTCCAAGCTACTTTCTAGTTTTCGTCGGAGCCCCCCCCCCACGCAAAGCAACAGGTGAACCGCCGTTCTGACCCGTTCCAGCTTTTCTAACAAGCATTAGGATCAGCACGATTAATAGCTTGTTATACAACCCCCCCCCCTTTCGGCTTGCTTAGATTAATTGTAAGGACCAGGGTCTCAAGCATATTGGAAAAATGAGTTCTGCGATCCTATGCAGTCTCTTTGGAAGAAAGTTCCACTGCGTCCAGTGAAGAATCCCCTAGATTCTCTTAGTAACGGAGTTATATTTATTTACAATGGGTTACATTCTTACAACCCGAGTGTGCTCCTGTTTACTCAAGAGTAAGTGTCACCGAATTCAACGAGGGCTATTCAAATAATTGATAAGGTTGAATCTTTAGATATTTTTGTGGTTATATACATGTATGTTTTACGGAGTGAGGATTCCATCAAGTGGGGAACAACCATAGAATATTTAGGAATTACTGTTTTTAACCTTAAGAAAAATGCACCAGTTTCCATTCTTCGCTATAGTACTCCAAACTAAATCAAATAGAGCCTCCATGATTCGAGGCAGTGAACCTGTTACTACAACTAGACATTTAATCATTGTTGTCCATTGTTTTTATATCTGGTCCTTCTGAGGTAATTGCTTGTCCGGAGAATAACAACATAACCTCTGGGCCTGATCCTGCTTGAACAATTTTTAAGTTTTCACCTCTTAAAAAAGTAAGGTAGTTATGCTCTCACTTTTGTCTGTTCGTTATCGCTGTTTTGCTTTTTAATTTGTACAGCAATTTGCTAGCAACTCTATGAAGAGCACTCATTTGCACTGGTATTTGACTTGTTACATTTTACGCTCTTTCCCTTTTTCTCTACTCGCCCCTCCCTTCTCTTTAAATTTCCCTCCTGGCTTTAATTGATTTTTTTAAAAGCTTACTGAATACTTTCTTTCCTATCAAGTCTTTTTGCTCCTCCAGCGTGCCTTTCCTTTTTCTGCGGTCACTCCTGGGCTGTTGCGCGCCTTTACGCACGCCTCTCTCCCTCCCCGCGTCTTTTACCACTCCGCCTCCCTCCGGAGGAGCTGCAGTGTGTGCCTAGTGCCTAGGAGGGTAACCCCCTCTTCTCCCCCCCACCACTGGCCATTGGCTTGCCCTGCTACGGCTCCCCCCCTCACTCTTTTGCTTGATCATGTCCAGCCCCCGATGACTGTCCATTGGCGTGGCGCACAGCTTCCCTCCTCCCCTTTCTTCCAGTTTCGCCCTGCCCATGTTTTGTATGTCTCTGTCCATCCAGCCGCTTGACGTTCAAGTTCGTAGGGACGTCACGTCCGCACTTGAACTTGCAGCTCAGGGGGGCTTTTGCCATTTTTTTCATCTCTTTCTCTCTCTCTCTCTTTTCTTCCCCCCCCCCGTCTGTTTCTCCCTCTCTTGCACAGAAAGGAAAAAAAGAAAAAGAAAAAGCCATGACTGCTATCCCACAATTCATCTTCCCCGCGCCATCTTTGTATTATTTCTAATTTATTTTGGATGTCAAAAGACATTGATGAAGGTATTTTCTCTGGAGTCTCCTTCCTTGCTCACCCGGCGCTTCCCGATGTGATCCGAGCGAGAGAGCTCCGTGCGCGCCCGCCCGAGCAACCAACACCACAATGTCTCGCCGCAAGCAAGGGAAACCCCAGCACTTAAGCAAACGGGAATTTTCGCGTAAGTAAACCACCTTGCAGCTCTGCCTTTTACCTTTGAGCACTCTTGCTTGCAAACTAGCAATAATAATTCAACTATTTTTTTTTATATTTTGCACATTTTTAATCTTTGTGCATGCGTCTTTTTAATGTATTGGAAGACAAAAACGCAACTCACCTTAAAACTCAGGCCCCTTGCCCCTCCCTCTTTTTTTTGGCATGCTAGCACCTTCAGTACTTTTCAGAGAAGGTCCTTCTGTTCTTCGTTGCTTACGGCCGCTTGCTCGCTCGCTCAAAGTTCCATTTGTCTCTCCTCCCCCCCCCCCATTGATTCTTCTATAGATATTTTGCCGGAAGAGAGCGTGTCTGGGTGCGCGCGCCTGCAGCTTACAAATGAATTGCAACTTAAGAAAACACGCAAAGACACACATTTTTTTTTTTTTAGCAAAGAGGCAGGCGGCTTAAAGGACGGGATGAAAGTACGGAAGAAAGCGGTACATGTGTGTGTATGTGTATGTGTGGCTGAATCAGGGCACTTTCTTTATTTTCACGCGAATAGATTAGGTGCTCTCCGGGCGCCTTGTCGTGTGGCGACCCTCCCTTTTTTCAAATCTGCTTTGCTCATTCCTTGCAAATCTCCCTTTTTTTTAGATAGGGGTGAAGGGGGGACCATTTCTTTTGTCTCCACATCAAGATAGGGGTGGTGGCGGTGAGAGATCGCCTACCCTTTTCTGCACGTCCCGCTCCTTTTTCTTTCTTTCTCTCTCCTCTTCAACTCCGCACCGGGAAAGGGCAAGGAAGGGGGCAGACGTGTTGTCTGTTTTGGCCGGAGATAGGCTGCTTTTCTCTTTTTCCACCGCCGCGATTAGCTTTTCTCCCCTCCCCCATCAACTGCCTACTCTTACCAACCTCATTTTACCCCCTCCTTTTCTCTTTCCGTCGTTAAGCCCCCAAACTCTTGCTTTGCAGAAACTTAGGTTAGCTTGCGTATACCTAAAAATGTAAGAAGGGTCGGATTGTGTGGATATGCATGCGTGTGGAATTCCTCTCCTTTCTCTCGTACTATTTTTTGGAAGATTTTCAAAAAAAAAAAAGTGGAAGTGGATTTTGATTGGGAAAAATCTCGTGTCTGACTGTTTACAAGCGCCGCGTGTGCGAGTCTCTGCCAGCAAAACAGGCTAGGAGAACAAACGTATTGGAAGGAGAAAAAATTCGTACAACGCATATACATGCACATATGCAAGATTTTGTAGATGTTATAAAAAGAAATACAGGCTTAGGTGCAGTTATGGCAACTCTGATCCCAAGAAAGGAGCACCAGTCTCCCCAAACAATTAGAACTTCCACCTCAGTAATTGCATTTTGATGTAAAGATTGTATTTCCTTTTTATTTAAACAAAATAGGGATTTTTTTTGCAATGGCTCGGTTTCGTCTTTCAGCCTTCCAGGCATGCGGTGTACAAAAGCTCGAGCAAAACGGTGCTTGCTTGCAAACACAAAAGGGAAGTCTGGTCTGGACTTGAGGTGGTTGAAGGCGGGCGGGCGGGCAAACTCGAGGGGGGGAGAGGAAAGAAGGAAAACATTAAATGTCTAAGTTATATTTGCAAAAGAGAAATAAATGGTCTTCCTTGGGCTGTTTTGTTACCATTTTCCCCTTTAATTTTCAAGATTGATGTGCTTTTGGTTTTTTTAAAACTTTGCATTTTAGCAGTCATTTTAGTCAGTGGTCCTGCCAATAATCGCTGCTTGCAGTGCAGTGTAAAATAACATCCGTTTAGCAACACGAATGCTTAATTAAAATAGCCAACTAATGAAATATCGCTGCTCCTTCATTTTCATGGATTATAGTTGTCTTTTCAAATAAATATCCTGCGCGTTGCTTTTCTGCCCATTCCTGCAATTTTGTTATTTGAAATGCAAAACCGTAGTTTATTGCAACATAACCGATACACTTTTGAACATGCTATCACCTTCCAAACACGTTGCAAGATTCTTTCTCCCTCCCTTCCCTCAGCCAAACTGATAACCTAATTTGACTCTTATCTGAAATGAGAGGTAGGGGGTGGGGTAAGGTGAAGTGGCTGTTTGGAGGAAAAGATGCCCCTTTTTCCAATTATAAAGGCAAGATTTGTAACTATATTCCAGTCTCTGCTCCACATTCACCTGCAGAATATTTGAAAATTAGCCCCCAAAGTAAATATACAGAGAAGTATAAGTTTTTGTTTAAATAGAGATTTGTGGTGTGTATCAAGGGATCAGTAGAATTCTTATAGAACTTTTTTTTTCATGTCTTCTTCACCTTGTCTTGGGAACAAAATGAGAGAATGGGGCATAATGAGATTATAGCAGAGAGGGCAATTTATGTGAGTTGGGTTAAAACAATTCCCCACCCCTTTCCTTATAATTTTTTAATTTAAATGTGAATTTTAGCCACTAGGAGGCAGAGTGAGATCAAGAAAGCTTAGTGAACTTGAACCTGATCCTTTTGCTCACACATCTTTTAATTTTCTATATTTTTCATTTGGCATAGGAAGGTGGGGTGAGAGTCCTGTGTATTTATGTATATGCTGCTTGTATGTGTTCAGATATTCTCCTTTCTTTATCTTCCACTGTTCCTCTGTAATTCAGCTCCTTTTTTTGCTTTTAATTTTGTTTCCTGTGTTAAGTTTTGGGAAAGGACTGTAACATTCAAATTATTCTTTTACCAGTTTCCCTCCCATATAGAACATTACATTTCATCTTGTCATTATTCCCCCTCCCCCAAGGAATAGTTCTCCTGTTCGGAAAGACAGCATTAAAATAATTATTAAACGATCAAGTGCACTACTATATAGTATTTGATTATTTATTTATATACCAACACAAAACAAACTGAGAAAGGCAACCCATCTTAGCATTTAGAAATAGTGTTTCCTAGATGGCACCTAATTTTTTTGATAAAGAAAAAACAGCAAAAATTCAAGGGTATTAAATTTCTTTCCAAAGACTTTTGGGTGCTTTGGCTTAACTTGCAGAGCATCTGCTTTTGTTTGGGTGGCTTGGTGAGGGCTGTTATTCATTCAGTCTCAGTCCTATTAGAAAGCTTATTTTTGCTTTTGAAAATCAATTGGTTTATTTTGTTTTAATGTAGATCTCTAAGAGAACAGCTGGCTGAAGAGGCAAGCAAATATTCTGGCTCCCTTGCAAGTGTTACTAGATGAGGTTTCTGAGGCTAACCTATATCCCCCCCCCCTCAATTGTGTTTTCTGCTCCTTCCCAAGTTTACATCCATCCAGATGTTCATTCACCTAAACACTGTTAAATTTTCTTTTTTCCTTTCTTTCTTCTTTCTGTTTTTGAATACCATTCCTTACTCTCCTTCAGCTTCTGTTAAACTAATCCACTTGAATGCAAAGTTGAAACTAAGCTGTTGTTTCAGTTTTAACTATTTTGCCCGGTAGGAAAGGAGAAATGTATGTTTAATTGCTCTGCATTATTTTGACTCAAGTTTGATTGCTTGTTCCATCCTAATTCATAGTTCAAAAATGAAAGACATGTTTTCTACTATAATCTGGAAAATGCCTCCCTTGGCATTTCTGTTTCTGTACACTTTCTTCTTCCTCCTATTCTTTGTAAAGAAGTGAAAATCTGTGGCACTAGTGTTTTTAATTAAAAACTCCACCTTTCTTTTAGGTTGGCCTTTAAACGAGAAAATACAATCCCCTTTTTTCATTAATGATAGATTAATTTAAAGAGAAATATTAGACAGATAAAATACAAAAAAGTGGTGGCCAATAAATTAGAAACAAAGCATATCATGCAAATAATCAACAGCAAGGACGATAATACATTAGTCTTTGAATTGCAGACATACTTTTAATAATAGCAGTACACTTTTGCCCTGCATTCTGTATTTTAGGAAACCGTTTTTGAACAAATTCAGTGTACTAGCTCTTGCTCATTCATTGTTCTATCATTATTCTTGATTAGCAATCATTTCTATTAAATGCATAAACATTTGGAGGATATGGATTTTATATCTGTACATTTTAATATTGTATTCTTAAGAACCTTGTCTCTTATAAAATTAATTGGATGAATTGCTAAGGTGCAATCAGCAATACTTTTGAGTTTTATTTGATTCTTTTTTAGTGAAAACGCAAGGCAATTTATAGTCAACTTTATAAGAAATCATTTTCCCCAACCGTTATTTAGTATAAATTTTAGCTACTTAGGAAAATTTTTTTTGTGTTTTCTTGCTAAACCGACTTACTGATTTCACAATTGTTTTAGGCCCTAGTCTTATAGTTTGACTAATTAGTCCTTAGAACTTCCTGTTTTATAGAAAATGCTTTGCTTCTAGGATTGGGCTTTTGAAGCTCGCATGGAAAAATATTTCAATACTTTCAAGATAGAGTGTGCTGAGACAATTTGTTCTTGTATTTGTTGCCTGCCATTTTGCTAGAGCGAACTAGTAGAGGAAAGTAGATACTGTAAAATCACTCATAGTCCCAATTTCCCCCTTGACTATTAATCACTAACTGGTATTACTGCATTATTTTTGGTCAAGAGAGCTTAAGTGGAACCCTATGGCCTGAAGATATTTTAATGTAAAAATAATGTTCATGTTTCTATAATCATTATTACTATATACTTAGGAGTAAACTTGGAGACAAAAAATAATGTGAAAGGAGAGATTTGCAGAATTGTTGTTTAGAAGGAGCTATGACATCCTAAAATTATATTCCCTTGCACATATGGGAATTTCTTGAGATCTCTTAACCAGTATGGATAGTTCAGAAACAAATTTAATCTGAATATACTTAAAAAAATACTAAATGTATTCCAATATGAGTCAGTCAAATTAAAATCTATTTTTTGATTCTCTGTGGCTTTAAATTCATTAAATGTGAAATTGGCCATATACTAAAGAAGGTCAAGCTGATTAACTGTTGAGGTATTATGTCCTTTCACTTCTTAACTGGTAGCTTTTGATATTTTGCAAGAATTCTATTTCATATTTGTTTATAGGTGAAAGTACTGTACGGTTGTAATGAAATTACATCCCAAGCTGAATTTTTCTTCTCCCTCTTTCAATCTGTGTGGAAGACTGAAATCATGAACTCTTTCTTCAAAAAATACTTTAATAGAAAATAATAGTGGGAGAAAAAGCTAATTGCTGTATCTACCTTGTTAAAATACCTATTGGTATACTGCTATATAAACAGAATTTTAGTGGAGCTTTCTTGCGCTTGTTCAGCAAATTAATAAACTTAGACAACGTTAAGAAAGGTACTGTAAAGAAAGGACTTGGGTGCTGAATGCTGGAATTCAGTCATCTTTATACTAGTATTTATACCTTATGAAAGCCCTCATTACTAATACATTCTGAATAAATAAGACACATTTCTCCTAAATGGGAAAAAGGACTAGTTTAGTTTATTTTCCTAGATGTTAATTGTAACTGGAAATTTTCAGTAGTTTGAAGATATGTATTTATATTTTGTAAATGAAATGTTTGGTTATTATTTTTTAAAATAATTCTTGATAAATAAAATATTGCAGATTTATCTTGTTTTTCTGTTTGCCTGAACATTTTAGAGAAGACTTCTAGGAAATTCTGTGTGCATCTGCATATGTATGACACAGAACACAGGAACATACTTAAAAACCGCGGGCTGTTCAGGTAATGGATGCCAACTGGCGGATGGACACAAGTAATATTTTTTGTAATTGTGTGATTATGCTTACTTACATTTTTGTATGTCTGTCCAAACACTTGTTTGCATAAGTGTACCCTAAAGTAGCATATTTATTCCAACATATGACACTAACAGGGAGAAAATAAAACAAATATTTTGTGGAAAAAAAAGAAATCGATGGATTTTACAAATAGATAGTTCTGAGGTTTACTTTTGGAGGTGGTGAATAAAGGTAGGAATTCAAATACAATTGCTTGGCATCACTGATAAATTTGTTTTCTTAGAGCATGACAACATGCTATAAAGAAGAAGCTCCTTAGATTTGGGACAGGAGTGACCTATTTTTTTTCCTATTAACATTAATACTATAATATAATTTAAACATAGAGATGTGTAATGCATTTTGTTTTAAGAAAGGCTTTTGATGTTGGTACTTCTGTGGATGCTCCCCCCCCTTTTTTTTTTTTGTTCAGGCACCCCAGGACATTGCTGGATTAGAAATGTGTCAGTACTGCTACCCAATGTTTGGGATTTTATTTTTTTTGAAAGTTTGGCCTGTACTCTACAAATATACTTTCCCTCCCTCTTGATTTGTATTTGAATTCTTCATTTCCTTTGTTTCCTTTTTTGCAGCCGAACCTATTGAAGCCATTCTTACAGATGATGAACCAGATCATGGTACTTTGGGAGCTCCAGAAGGCGACCACGACCTCCTTACCTGTGGCCAGTGTCAGATGAACTTCCCTTTGGGGGATATTCTTATTTTTATTGAGCACAAACGGAAACAATGCAATGGCACTCTTTGCCTAGAGAAGGCTGTGGATAAGCCCCCTTCGCCCTCGCCAAGCGAGCTGCGAAAAATTTCCAATCCGGTGGAGGTTGGCATCCAGGTCACACCTGAGGATGACGATTGTTTGTCAACGTCATCTAGAGGAATTTGCCCTAAACAGGAACATATAGCAGGTAAATCAAAGTGATGGGGGAGGGGAGGTAGGAATGACATGCTTATAGGCTGCCCATTGAAATTTTGTTGTTTTGTAAAAAATGTTTTCTGACATCAATTCATGAATTAAATTTTCATTATTTATAGTAGGTATGCACACCTCCAGTTATCTATAGAAGCATAAAACTCATGGCATATCATGGAATAACTTTCTAACTCCTCTCTTTCATGTCTTTCATGTTCTATACATTTTTTGACACTGGGTTGTGCTCACCCAAAGAAGAGGATGTAGAAGAGAACTAAGCTTTTTCCCCAATCTGCAGCTTTTTAAAAAATTTCACTGTTTCCTTTTTTTATATTTACCTTACAGAAATGCCTTCACAGCAAATTTAATTCCATATCATACTTTACCGTTAAGTTTTAACATAGAGTTAGGGTATTAGGAAACAAAATACGATGGACAGATGGATAGCCCTATCTGCAGTGAATGTTTATGAGTGTAGAGTGTCTGGCTATTGTTTTCTATCACTGTTTCTAGTATATTTCTGTGCACTTTAGCATTCATATATTTATTGTAGGAAACAGGTACAATCTCACCACAATCATAAAAGCAAGTTCCTTATGAAGTCCAAACCTGTTACTCTTGCTTAGTTCTTATTCCGGTTCTTATTCTAGAAAGGACCCTGGAAAATGACAACCTACAATACCTTTAAGTCATATGAAAATAAGCTGTACTTCTCAGAAGAATCCTTTCTCTCATATCTCAAATTTGATTGAACCAATGTGTAAAATGGAGACAAAACCCAAATCTGGGTAGCTTATCCTCCCCCAGTTCTTATAGGTCATTAAAGGGTACCAAGGCCTCCTGGAAATGCAACATGCCTGCTTTAGAGTTCTGCTATGCCTGAAACTTGATGGAATTGGTTGTGTAGTCTTTTTATTTTCCTTTTTAATCATAATTTTCTGCAGACTATGGTGTAAATGGGAAAGAGAAGTTAACATCCCCTGTTCCATTTTGTCTGTCATTTCATGGACTGTAATTAAAGGCAGTCCCTTGGTGAAGTGACATGGCTGACCTTGACTTTCAGATGCCATTTTCACTGTCCAGGCCAGAGTAGAGAGAGCAGTTTCCAAGGCGTGTAGGTTTGCTTATATAAAAAGTTTAAGGGCATGTTAGAAATTTATAAAGGTTGGCTTGACAGGGAAGGAGGTTGCTCTCTGTAATCTTACCTTTTCAACTAAATGATAAATGCCCCCCCCCCCATTGTCTGTTATCTCTGATGTGGTTTTAACAGATATATCTTGATTTTCTTCTATGGCTTTTGCTGCTGAATGTCGCCTATATGAATGTCCAAGGCAGATTCACTTTTTGGACAGTGGCAACTTGTAATTAAAATAATATAAAATTAAATAATGGATGTTATACGCATCAACAACAAAAAAACGGGTGGGCTGCATACTGCCTGCATGTGTGTATGGTTTTTTTTAATAAAGGAAGTGAAAGGATGTTTGAAGTTAATGCAGATGTGGAGAGGTCTGTTAATACTGCTAGACTATAAATATAATAATTGCTAGACTATAATACACCAGACTATGTTTGGTATCATAATCCAAATGGCAAACAAAAATGCTTTCTTTTGGTTTTCATGTGTGCTACCAAAATTGACATAGATTGGATGAGGGTAAGGAAAGGCCAGAATGGTTTGCATAAAGTATCACTTGCGCTATTGTTTTAAATAGCCTCAGGGATGCTGTAGTATTACGAGACACACTGTATGTAAGTCACATGCTGCCTTGTATTTAATCCTCCCTCCCCCAAACGATCTCAATTACAAGGCAGTTCACAAGCTACCTCAGTCGGCATGGTCCTATCAGTGTTGTTGGATCTTGCAGCTGAATAAGTGGACTAAAACTGGCTTTACTTGTCAGCTGATGGAAGTAATTAATATTTATCTTGCTATGAAATAATTAAGTTAGCTATATGTGTATTTATACACAGAGAGAAAGATGATTGGTAGGTGGATAGTAGCCTTGATATAATTGGAACAAATCAAATTTAACTTCAGTTTTTAAATATTTGCTTTGGCAATTTTGTTTTTTATGCAGTTTTATAATTCAGGTTTTGCCAGATGACTCTAGAATATAGACATGGTTTGTGTCAGTAGATTTTGCTGGTAGATTTTAATTTTGCTGGTGGAAGTTATCTACTGTATTTGCAAATGTTCTTGTAAATGATGTCATTTTGTTGGTGAAAATGAAGTAAAAACTCTAAATGTTATTGTTGAGCTCAAAATATCCAGCATTTTAATCTGCTGTATATTATGCAGCTGATTACAATTTTGAATTTGGATCAGGTATTATTTTGATACTGAATAATCTTAATATCTTTATCATATGAAAGTGGAAATTTCTTTCATATCATCCATAATTTTAAAATTTGTTGTCCCAATAGAAGTATGCCAGTGCTGCACCTTTACCAAGTTATCAGCAATTTTAAATCATTTTAATTCCTTTTATATCTTTGTGTTGCTTGTTATTAAAAGAATACTCCTAAATTTTAGACAGCTTTTTATACAAGCATGGCATTATATGCCTACATACAGATTATAGGTCAGTTTCCCTTCTCTGAGCTTGAGCAGTATCTATGTTACAAATTATTTAGCAAGTTTCTTGCATAACTCCTTTTAGAGTTACAGTTCAGAAGCAACATTGCCATTGATCCAAATTTTTAATTATCTAAGACATTCTTTGTTCCTCCCAGTCACTTAGATAAATTCAGGAGTAATTCATATGTATTAAAATAATGGCAGATTATTTTATAATAATTATTTTATAAGGGCATGTGATTAGAATTGTATGTATATGTGATGGGGGTGGGAGTAAAGCACAACTGGAACACAGTTACCTTATTTATAGCATGCATCTTAAGCTATTGTAACTATCATGTGCTGCTCACATTCTGAACATGAAGGAGGATGTTCATTTAGTCAGAGCTTTCAAGAAGGGTTTTCTGATCTTTCTGTGTACTGCAGGGATGTTAAATCACCAAATATGGAACATCCCTTCTGTGACATAATGCACTATTTACATATTAAACATCTCTATTTCAAAGACTAAACACAGCATCTGTCAAGCAAGAATTAAGGGGGAGGATGAGCTAAAAGGCCCGCTCTGTAGATATTAGATAGGTTACTTAATCTAAGATGGAGCAAAACTGTGAGAAGGGAGATAATAGCTTTTTTTCAACGCATTGCTGCTGCCTTGCCAAACTCAAACTCTTTTGTATTCCTGGCACAAGTGGATCAGTATATAAAAAAGCATATTAGATTATCACCCTACAAAAGTCTGGCAAACTTTGGTTTGTGTTATTGGTGGTTAATGTACTGCTTTCAGGAGAAACTGAATTTTGTGTTGCTTGAGGATTGAAGTAAGACTGAGACTAGTGCATAGAGATATGTCAAAATCATAAAGTGAGTTAGTTCATTGCTGAGAAGATATTTGAGTTGAAGTTTTCTTGTCCTAAGTCTAACATTCCCCTGGCCTAAAACTTGGGGAGAGATGTGCGTCACAGTTGGATGAATATAGTTTTGAAGTGTTTGCAATTGCTTGGGCTTTATGCCATTTATTGTAAGAAACTTGTTCCAGCCATCTACTTTGTTCTTTAGAAAGAACTTATATTCATGTTTAATCTCAGTATAAATGCAGTTACATGTGACAAATTTTCTTGGAAGCCATGGAGATTGATCCTAATGCAGTGAAAACAGTATCTATTTGGAATAACTTGCCACCATTAATCCGTTCTTCTGTTCAAGGCGATTTTCATTCTGCTATCAGCAAGTATATTTACAGCACCAAATTCCTAGGTACCATACTTGTGGGCTTATGCTTAAAGCATTGGAAGGCATAAAGTTGGGAAAGAGGGAGTATATTCTGCTAGCTATTCATAAGATGATATTAAAATGTCAGGAAAGAAATCCTTTTTGTCCTGATTTAGTGGAGAAAGAGCCAGGGATCTTGTGCATATTTAAAGGCATTTAAAATATGCCTTATTCTCCAACAAAATTAGTGTAAATATATTTGCTTTTAAGACTGTTCATGGAATTGACCATTGATGATGGAATTTTTCAATCAAACCTGAAAGTACAATAAAACTGCTAAATGTATTATTATTCAAGGTTAACAAATTTAAATAGAAAGTGAATCAACTGAATTTTAGCTAATCTGTCATTGATACAAATTTATTTTTAAAATGATACTTATTTTGGTATGGTGCTATAATCAGGAATGAGAACGAAACACAAAAATTTTGCTATGGGATTGGATTTTTTTATTAGTGAATAAGTCACCTTGCACATTTAGTAAAATGGAAATGTTTTTATATTTAATTTGTCAAGTAGACTGTTAATTCAATGAGTAACCCATTTTTTTTTTCAGGTATGGGAGAAGGTATTCCTATTTAGAGTTTGTGTAGACTCAACAATGTTAAAAGGATTTATTTCTGTCCTGAGAAACATGTAATCCAAAAATTGAAAATGGGACAGTTAAGGAGGCAGGTGTGATGGTTGGAGACAGATGATGAAAGTGAACAAATATAATAATGCAATTTTGACTTCATTTTGGTTAGGGATATGTATTTGTATGAAGGTTTCAAGAACTTCATGCTAGTTGATATTTTAAAGGAAGTTACTGTTATCTGTTGCTTACTTAGGACATCATGCAAGATCATTTGCGAGATAAATCTATCATTCCATCCACTAGGGAAATGAATTCTACTGGGAAAAATATTTTGTTGTCTTGCATATGTTCTCCCACATTTACCCTCCAGGTCTCTTCAAGGTTTGTGAGATATTTATGGAACGGGCCTGGAAGAAGAAATTTAAGGGTACATTAGGTTTGCTCATACTGTGGTAGATGTTACTACGCTACTTTTCAGTGGATTGACAGGTGAAACAGGCACTCAGAATGTTCATTTTGCAATTAGACAAGTGAGATAACATTTCACAGGTCTTTGGTTCTTGTA